TTTTTGACAATTGGTGGAAGAGTGGTCCAATAGAGAACTTCCATGTGTTTAGATTTTTAGATGGCCAATAGGATAGAAGTTCAGAAATCTTTTGGGAACAACCATGCCAAATTTTATGACTCTTAAGATCTTTCTTCTTCTTCTAATTCATTATTATGAAGACAAAGACCAGACAAAGTGAATGTCCAGCCTACTCTGTCGTCAGTGTCGGATCGTTGTGATTGTCACACAGTGCTAAATGCTTCTTTTGTGGACAGATGTTTTGAAGTTCTAGTACCTTCACACCACAGGAGGGATCTGCAGCAGGGGGCTGACTAGACTTAATTCCCAACTTATGGAAATCTTTATTATGCGGTTATAACTGTAATGCCAGCATTAGGTGGGCAGATTTTTGCCTGTTATCAACGTATTACCTTATAACACAAGTACGTATGTCATAGTGATTATACTTGTTTTGTTTTTAAAGTGATGGTTTTCATTAYTTGAGTATTCTCTGACAACAGTTCCCCTACTCTAAACTGACCCACAGTTTTACTTTGTGTGCTCTTCAACCGGCTTCACCAAAATTTCAAATATTTTAGATATTTGGTTAAAGATTGGGGCTTGTCCTAAAGCAGTGGTGTCCAAAGTGTGGCCCGGGGGGCATTTGTGGCCCCTGAACTGATTTTGTRTGGTCCCTGACTTCAGTTCAAAAGTTATACTAATTTATTTACAAACTTGTCCCCCCGGCACAGGTGTTTGATGTAGATGGAGACTTTTTATTTATTATTAGGGCAAATTTATCACAAAGTAAAATCTTACAATAACAAAACAATGGCAACAATACCATATTTGTCTTTAAATAGCCAGGCTTTTAGCKTTTTCCACGACTTCTACTCAAGCTGATTTTGCTGCACTTCAGTCTGCTTTAAATTATAGAATAAATTTGTCTGAACACAGCAAGAATTTTAAACAAAAGAGTGACCTAAATCCGGATTTTATTGATCAGAATTGACTAAATTGGATTATTTCCCCACCCCCCCAAATGAAACCTAGAAAATTGGTAAATTTCTTTCAATAAGGGAATCCTGCAACACGTTTAAAGTTCTGGATCTAGATTAATTTACGCATCCATTTCCAGCAATAAATCTGACTATTTTATTTGTTTAATTAAAGTATTCAATGCTAAGTTTATTGTTGAGCAGGTAAAGGAAAAATATTTTTGGTCCTCAAGTCCTTCTGACTTTATGATTTTGGCCCATGTGACAAAATGTTTGGACACCCCTGTCCTAAAGTCTCAAAAAGGGTGTTTTTGAGGCCTTGGAACTTAAAAGTTGATGATGGAATGCCCTTTTGCTTTGGATCGTGAACATTTTTTCTGCAGCCCCCTAACATTTTTCTACGACTAAAAAATGATGAAGTTTTTGACTTTAGAGGTTATGAGTAGAACAGGGTTAATGTTTCATGGAGAGGTTTGCAGAGAACCTGCTGCAGCTTTAGTAAAGCACCAGAGGCTATTCCTTTCTTTTTAGATAAGAGCAGAAATGCCCTTGGAGGCTTTTTTTTAGTTAAAAAACGTGTTCTAAATGAGCGCCAGGAGACATTATCATAATTACTGTTAGCTAATGATTGACAAATCCAATACWTGTCTGATCTCCTCCTGCCAGCTATTTTAGAAACAGCATGGAGGGTCAGGTTACAAACTACTAGACATGAACAAATTACTCTGTCTGTGACTGGACTCTGTTTTCAACCTCCACCAGCCACAACCATTGACTGATACTCCACATGCTCCGTATTCTATGAATAACCAATATTTGTAGAATTGTTTGCTTCCAAGCGATGGCTTTCTTTAAGGTAAGTAAAGTGAGAGTGCATCAGTCTAGTTTTATCAACACAAGTCATCTTCTGAGCTATTGCACAAACTTTGTGAGATGAGTGAACAAGGACCTCAAAGAGAGTCCAACACGAGGCTTTTTCCCAAAACACTTCAGGCTGGGACTTCAAAACCTTCCGACCACCTCGGTGTGATTTCTGAATGGACTGAGGCGGCGAGTGGGTGTTGAAGCCAACCCACCCCTGATGTGCCTTTGTGCCAACATGTGAAAAGGTCAGCTGGATTTGCGGCTCAGTAATGTGATGAAGTGATGATAAATGGTCTGTGTGACCACCCAGTTGTGGGATTAAACAACAACAAACAGATTTATTGCAGAGGGAACATTGGTGATGATGCACAGTTGCGTGTAGTTTTACAAAAACTGTTATCCACTCGGAGAATTGCCAAGTTGAGTTATTTCRTCATGTTTTGAAAACAGTGCAAGAAAGTTTCATCAGAGGTCATCATTATGCTAAATGACCAGGTCCAAGTGTTGCCCCTGCCTCTTGATTACATTTTGGACATCTTACCAAGCGGTCCCAGTTCTTTTTCTAGGCGGAGGCAGAGGGGAATGCCAATGTGGTCATACAAACAGATTTTTTTTAAGGTGCACAATTCAAATAGTATTACGATTACAACAAAAAAAAAAGTCACAAAGTGTTGTTTAAATTAAAGACACATACATCAAATAGATTTTTACATATTGAACGTCCCATAAGCCTTAAAGGGATCCCCCGATTAGTTGTAACATTAGACTTTATTTGATACYRTAACCATTTTTTAACTGTAAAATAAAGACTGTAAAATTACTGTAGGCTGTTCAGCTTTTATCATTTTTAAACTAAAAGTTTAAAAATATATTACACAGACTGGGCCATTTTATTTACACGCAAAGCATTCTGGGTAAATGATGACGTGGATAGGTCATCGTTGCGAGGCTGCTATCGAGCTATATCCACCCTGAAGGTTAGTCTTGGACAATATCTGACGATCGACTCTTTTAAATGAAACCAGAGATCGATGACAGAGAGGAGAAGGTAGAAGCAACTCAGCCTGTAACTGAAAATATAGATGGAGGACAACAGAGCTGCTTCATGGAAGAACCTCTGCTTAGCCTGTTAGCTTTAGCGTTAGCCCCGACGCTATCACCATATATATGTATTAGCTCAGCGCTACACATTCTCCTCTCATCACTGAGGTCCTCCATCCACATGACAGAGAGGTGAACACAAAAATAACTCAGCTGCAAGTGAAAATATGGATGGAGGACCTCAGTTTAGCTTATTAGTTTGTCAAGCTAGAACCGAACTAATACATATAAGGCAATATAGCGTGGGTGCTATCGCAAAGGCTAACAGGCTAAGCTGAGGTTCTTCTTCCATGAAGCAGCTCTGTTGTCCTCCATCCATATTTTCACTTGACTGAGTTATTTTTGTGTTCCCCTCTCTGTCATGTGGATGGAGGACCTCAGTGATGAGAGGAGAATGTGTAGCGC